AAAGTTCTCTCTCATCAAGATTCCCCTCATTTTTTTGTTTCCACCCGCTCATACCATGGAGGTAAGAAAGGAAGGAGTGGCCAACCGGCGCTTAGAAGTGAACATGGACCTTATAAGAAATAGACTAACCCAGTGGGCGTCACCGACATGTCGGCAAGAAAGAGTAGGGACGATCTGGTTTACTTTAGCATTGAAACCTATGGCGTTTGTATCACATAACTCTTTCTAATTATTAAATGTGATACGTTGTATAGTGATGAGATTATGAAAGCCACAGTTTTTTCCAAATAGGATTTAATATATCTCATTAAAGCACTTTTTACTGCATTTCGCGCACTTTTTTTCACGCAGTAATTCTTGTACAAACATCTTTACGTTGGTAAAAGGTAAAAACTCTAAGCACAAAATTTATGAACTTAATTTTGCGTAAAAATAAAGTAAAATTAAATAAGACTGATAGTACGTGATGCTTTGAAGTAAATAATTAAACAAGATCTGATAATTAAAAAAAAAATTAATGAAAATTTTCAGGCAGTGATTTTCTAAACAATAATAACATTACAAAACGATCATATTTATTTGAAGGATCATTAAATTATTAACATTAAAGTGGATTAGTTATTTTAATAATTCATAAAATTCGGAGCATAAACTTTTCTAAGCGTAATGAAGGAGAAAAAAAGATAAAATAAAATCTAGAAGCACTCAAATTTTATATTACGCCCAAAAGGAACCTTTTTTTAAAAGTTTTTGTGTTACCTATATTTATTGAATATCATGTTCTTCGCCCGTAAACCAAATACATTTGAAAACAGCATATCTTTAGAATTTCCGCACTGGAGATAAAACTGTTATTTTCCGTACTGTGCTCGCTCTGAACTCGTTAAGTTTGTTAATCAAAAATTCATTAAGTTTTACAAAATATGAAATAGATTAAAATAAATTCGAAATTCGGCCGTCCAGATGCCCGTGTTCGGTTGGAGAATTACACTATTCAAAATTTGATGGCTCTAGATACTGTCGTTTTTGTCACAGTGCAAGAAAAATACGTGTAATTTCTTTACATATAATACAAGGCGATAATATTTGGTAACAACAATTCGCAAGGAGACACGGACACTTATAGTAAAACAGCGCAAAATGCAGCTTCGAAACTAACAGCCTTTCTAGGCGACCGCCGCTTTGGGTTAATAAATTAAATTAACAGTAAATAAAAAAAAATCTTATGCAGAACTAAAAATAAATTTAAAAAAATAGTCACTATAAAATACAAGCAAAATTAATTATTACGGTTAAATACAATTTTAATATTAGAATTAAATGTATAAAAATTCTTAAGGCATCAAAAGTGTTTATCACTATGATGTATTATGAAAGATAATTGAAATAAAATTCCTTTATAGAAATTGTGCTATAATACTCATCTACAATTTTAAAAAAGCAGCACAATTTAGAATTTTAAACAAAACTTTCAAAAATTCGTTTTTAAATATTTTAGTATTTTTTACTTATTTACAATAATAAAAAGCATAAAATTGCAAGAGAAAATTGCTTGTTTGAAATTTTCTATTAGTTCAGATTTAAAATATTATTTTCTAAAAAAACGTAGTTACAAATTTCCTTACAGCATAGGAAAAGCTAAAGGAATATCCAGCTCTGAAAGCATGCAATAGCTTTATAATTGTTTGAAATGTTAATTATGCTTGATAAATATGCTAAAGTTTTAAAAATCAATCTCAATTTCAAAAATAAAAATATATAGAAATTCTAATTTGTGAAATGAGGCGTTACATACAGCTTTTTCTTGATAATTATACACGCTGCAATAGCCAACCAATGTTAAATTTCTGCAAGTCGTCCCTACTCCTCCGGATGTGATCAAGGTGACAGCCGACAACGCCTCAGACGAGGGAGAAAACCCGTTTGGGTTAGTCTATTTCTTATAAGGTCCATGGAAGTGAAGCACTGCTTTGAAGCTTCGGTCACCAGATGGGGTGTTCTTTGTTTACATTCAGAAGCTCTCTTGACGGTATCCTGATAGTATTTCGACACACGACAGTTCCATAAAAAGGGACACTTTCGCGTAAAAGAAACATTCATAGTGTGATGGATAATAGCAATTTGTATAGTTTAGTGACATTTACGCAAAAATCACATCTTGGTTATTTTTCGATAACTAACAACAGCGATTTTGATTATGAATTTGTTTTATAACAAATTCTAAGCTGTTGAACTACAAAAATATAGATTTTAACAAAAATTTTATGCTTAAAGAATGAAAAATACCACCTTTAAAATTGTATATGTCTTTCGATATCCTTGATAGAGTATTCGCTACTTTTATTTTATGTTCCAAACGCCAAAATGTTTTAAATAAAATAATTTTTTTTTCACATCCCTATATTATTGTAACATGTACCTTTTGAAATTTTTTACAGGAGAGGCTTTACTGCTACTCATTTTAAACTCATCGTTTTAAATTTATGTATCTGAAAAATAATCACTTTGGGCTTACACGTTTTACTTATTTGGGTTAATTAAAGATAAAATTACCATCAAATGCTGTAATCCTCGTCAAAATTAATAAATATACACACAGCTATGCCATTAAGTTAGCTTTCCCTTGATTTGGAACCACACATTTGTAATAAAGTAATAAAGAGTAAGAAAGTAATAAAGAGTTTTGGAATATGTATTGTTGAAATTAAGGGTAAAAAAAAATCTGATAAGTATAATTAAAAGAATTATTCCCCTTACATTTTATAACTCAGTTACAAGTTTTAAATACAGTAAACTCTCGCTACAACGATACCCGATACAACAATAACTCCCTCTACTACAATAATGTTTTGTGGTCCGGTGATTTTGCATATAAACTAATGTTAATCTCCCCTCAATATTGCTATATTCTCTAGAACAATAAACCTCTGTAAAACGATTTTTTCAATCTAAATTTCAGTATTATTTTCTCTTTTTATAATAATATTTTGATTTTCAAATGCTTTTTTTTTTCGTTTTCTTTTGTTATTTTTTCCGTCTATTAAGACTCATTGTGGATATTCAACTTATCCCTGAATAAATAGCTATTGTTCAGATTTCAAAACAGATGAAGACCACCCTTTGGGAATTGGAGTGGGTGAGGGGGGTGAAGTGTAAATGTATGCCTAGTCTCATTTTCCAGTAAGCTTTGGAATTCTGATAAGGTTTAAGGACATCTAGACCTGTCTGGTCACCTTGTCACAGAACAAGAGCCCTTTGTTAGAGGAACAGGGGGAGATGGAGGCGGGGTGTTGTTAAGTGACGTACTGAAAAGTGAGTTCAAAGGTTGTTTTATAGTCTTTAACGATTTTGAGTTCTACGCGAAACATTTGGTTTAAACATTTCTTTCTTTCACGCGATATTGTTCCCTAAGATGGCAGGGCGAAAGCAACTATCTTTTCGAGATAAACTGAACGTTATCAATGATATTGATGAGGGAATGAAGCAGATTGATGCGGCTAAGAAACATGGTGTTTAGTATTTTTTGTTACCAAACGATTTACTAGTGTGTCTTTGCAACATTAGATGGCGTTGCCGCCTGATGATTCAATTCTGGTTGCTATGGTAACGAACTTTCAACTCATAATTTATGTGATTTGTATTCTATTCTTTTTTGTTTTATTAATTGCTACTGTGCTTGGAGTGATGTGAGCTGTGTCGTCACGTGGACGGCATTCCTTCTATTTCAAAGTGTTATGTAAAATAAACAAGTGATATATTACAGTCCGCTTACCTTTTTTTGTGAACTTATTCATAACATTTCTGGTCCGTCGAGCCGGAGAGAAGAGTTAGCGATCTTTGGATATGATGTGATTTATTCAAATATTAGCAAGTTAAATCACTTTCGATTTGTGGATTAATAAACAGCTTAGTGTTCTTTCGATTCGATTTGTGGAATATTCCCGTGGCATGGTGTAGCGTAGAAACCTCAACATTGGGGTGAGTACGTTCCAATATTTCATCTTCTTTTGCTAGAGTTGTTAGTATAATATTTATTGTTATTCATAATGGCTGATTTGAAACCAGTTTTAACTAAAAAGAAGGTTCTAAAAAGCAATATAACAACGTTTAAAGGCCAAGGTAAATTCGAATTTAGAACAAGCAGAAATTTTAGAGGTAAAGTTGTTCGAAACGAAACTAAATGCTTTTAACAGTGAGCTTCGTTCTATTTATGAGGAATATTTTTGTTGTGTCCTGAAAAAGATTGTGATACATTCATTACGGAACAACAAACAATACAAGAAACTTTAGATGAATTATGGATAACTATAAATAAAAAGTTACAGAAACTTTCCAGTGACTCTGTTATCGAAACAAGTAGTGTAGCAAAAGTAAATTCGTCTGACGTTCGATTACCAAAATTAGAACTTTCTACCTTTACAGGGGAAAATATAGATGAGTGGATTAGTTTCTATGATCTTTTTAAGGCTAGTGTAGATAACAATCCGAATATTTCTAAATGTCAGAAGTTTCAATATTTAAAGGCTTCTTGTAAAAAAAAGGCTCTGTCTATTATTGAGTCAATTCCTATTTCTGATGCTAATTATGATATAGCGTTGCAACTTTTACAGGAACGTTATTCTAATAAAAGAGAATTAACTAATGCATTAATCCGTAAAATGTTTAATTTGCCAAATGTTTCTGATTCAGCTCAAGCTATTTTACATTGTGTTGATGTAGTGAATGAATGTGTACGCTCTTTGAAAACTCTTAAGCTAGAAGTTTCTGATCTTTCTGATGTTCTTTTTGTTTATCTGATAACTGAGAAATTAGATAAAAACATAAAATTTTGGTGGGAAAGAACTTTGAAAAAAGATGAATTAGGTACTTTAGATAATTTACTCGAGTTTCTAAAAGACCACGCTAGAACCCTTCAGAATAGTAGAAACCAATCTAAAGATTTTAGGAAATTTTCTAATTCCAAATTAACTTCTTTAGTGTCGAGTAAAAACAGTTGTATAATGTGCAAGGAAGATCATTCTCTTCACAAATGTGGTAAGTTTTTAAACTTAAGTGTCCAAAAAAAGAATCGAATTTGTTAAGAAACACAAACTTTGTTTTAATTGTTTATCTTCTCAGCCTCATTTAGTGAAAAACTGTCGTAGTTTACATAAATGTATGACGTGTAAGTTACCTCATCATACTGTTCTTCATTTTGATCGAAATATCAAAACTAGTAGTGAAAATGAGAAACCAAAACAAACGTCCTCACTCTCCCCCAAGCCGAAGTGTTCTTACCAAAGAATGAAGTCGTTACAAATGCCACAACATGTACAGGACAATTTAGTTATTCTAAAGGTGAATCAAAACGTGTATTACTGTGTACTGCTCTCATTAAAGTTAGTGATTCCAATGGTAAAGCCATCCCTTGCAGGGCTTTACTAGACTGTGGCAGTGAAGCCAGCTTTATAAGTGAAGAGTGTGTCAGTAAACTAAAGTTAGGTAGATTTAACAAAAAAATTGAAGTATCGTGCCTTGGTTCGTTCAACACTGTAACAAGTGGAGAAGTGGAATTAATCTTTACCCCGCACTTTGAGTCAAATTCCAAATTTCGAACATATGCATTCGTGATTCCAAGGATAACTTCAGATGTGCCTAACGTGTCGCTTCCTTCTAAAATTGCGAATCATTTTGACGATCTAGTCTTAGCTGATCCTAAGTTCTATGAAAGAAAACCTATAGATATTTTGTTAGGTGTAAATGTATTTTTTACTATGCTTAAGGGAGACATCATAAAGAGAGGAGAATCATTACCCTTTGCAATTTGTTCTCAGTTGGGTTGGATCATTTCCGGGAACACTATTACTGATGATTCGAATCTAACTAACACTTTTACAGTGAATAATCTTCAGTTGAATACAAACGAATTAGTTGAAAGATTTTGGTCTTTAGACTCCATTCCGGAAGTCAAACGTATTTCAAGTGAAGATAAAAAATGTGAAGAGTTCTTTAAAACAACACACTTCCGTGATCAAAATGGTCGTTATGTAGTGAAACTTCCATTTAAAGATAACCCTTCAAGGTTGGGTAATTCTAAAGATCTTGCTTTACAAAGATTTAAATCTTTAGAGAGAAATCTCTTAAGATCTCCTGATACATATGATATGTATAAACATTTCATGAAGGAATACTTGGATCTCGGGCACATGGAACCAGTCCGTAGTTCAGAGTCCCCAAGTCAGGCATACTACATGCCACATCATGCAGTAATTAAGGAATCTAGCTCTACGAGTAAAATACGTGTGGTATTTAATGCTACTAGTAAGTCTTCATCAGGACTGTCTCTTAACGACATATTGATGACAGGTCCCAGAATACAACAAGAGCTGTTTCCAGTTTTGGTCAAATTCAGATGTTACCCAGTAGTTGTCACAGCTGATATCATGAAAATGTTTAGACAAATTCTAGTTAATGAAGAGGATAGAAACTTTCAAAGGATATTTTGGCGGGACAGTCCAAGTGATCCTATTCAAGAATTTCGACTTAATACTGTCACATACGGCACTGCCTCGGCTCCATATTTGGCTACTCGTGCTTTATACCAACTTGCCTACGATGAGCAGAATAACTATCCTTTAGCTTCGAAGGCTGTACTTCAAAATTTTTTTGTAGATGATTGTTTGGTAGGTGCTCAAAACACTGAAGAGTGCAAAAATCTAGTAAATCAACTCTTGCAAATGTTAGAGCGTGGAGGATTTCTTCTGCGTAAATGGTCATCCAATGACTTGTCAGTGTTAGAGAATATACCCCAGGAGTTGAGAAATGATTCTGAGGCTATGAAAATTCAAGACGATAGCTGAATCAAAGTTTTAGGAATTAATTGGAACCCCCGTGAAGATTACTTTAACTTTTCCGTATCCATTTCTGGTGAAAAGCTTAAATACTCTAAAAGAGATAAAAGAGATATCCTTTCTGATTTAGCGAAAATATTTGACCCATTGGGTTGGCTTGCTCCTTGTATTATTTATGTCAAAATCTTGATACAAGACATGTGGAAACTCCATTTATCGTGGGATGAACCTGTTAGTGATGAGATTGCTAACAAATGGAAGATTTTCCGAAATGATTTACATCTTATTCAACAATTAAAAATACCGAGATTTGTTTTGATTCCTGACGTGAACTATATTGATATCTGTGCTTTTTGTGATGCCTCCGAGAAAGGCTACTGTGCAGCAATTTATTTGCGTTCAGTGTCACGTAATTTGGACATCAAAGTAACACTCTTAACATCAAAAACAAGAGTTGCCCCTCTGAAAGTGCAATCATTACCTCGATTAGAGTTATGCGCCGCAGTTTTGTTAGTGAATTTGCTTAAATCAGTGTTAGAACATTTAGAGTTTCCTATACGTAAAGTTTTGGCCTGGACAGATTCAACTGTTGTACTGTCCTGGATTTCTGCAGAACCATACCGTTGGGTTCCCTTTGTTGCAAACCGCGTTGCTAAAATACAGAATACAATTCCTAATGTAAGGTGGAACCATATCAATGGAAAGCGGAACCCAGCTGATTCAGGTACAAGAGGAATGTTTCCAGCAGAATTTCTGAAGTGTGTGAACGATGGTTCATTGGACCTACTTGGTTATATTCACAAGATTTCGAACCATGTCCTGACAGTGAACATCTTTGCTGATGTAGATTATGAAGGAGTTCGTAGAGAAGAAAGAAAAACTTGCATTTCAGTATCTTGTGCGGTAAAGGAAAATGACATTTTTAAACGGTATTCATCTTGGACAAAATTACGTCGTATAGTTGCATTATGCCTAAGATTTATTTACAACTGTCGAAACTTCTCCGAAAATCGTTTGAGAGGTTTTCTGACAACCGATGAGCTTCGATTAGCTACAAAAACAGTGATAAAAAATGTCCAAGAATCATATTTTCCTCAAGAGCTCTCTTATTTAAAAACATCGAGAGAATTAAAAGGTGTGAGAGCAGCCGAGTAAGTACAATACAATTAACTCCCTTCCTTGATGAAGAAGGCGTCATTCGAGTAGGTGGTCGCTTAAAAAATGCAAACATTCCTGAAAATAGCAAACATCCTATTTTGCTTCCAAAGGAAGGACATGTCACTAATCTCATCGTAACTCATTACCATGTCAATTATTTGCATGCTAGTCAAGAGTTATTAATAAGCACTTTACGAATGCAGTTTTGGATTCTTTCGGTGAGAAGCGTAGTGAGAAAGATTATTCACAGATGTATTCCTTGTATTAGAAATCGAGGCAAGACTGTGACCCAGATAATGGGTGATTTACCCTCGCCCAGAGTTCAACCATCAAGACCTTTTGCAGTCACCGGTGTTGATTATGCTGGTCCCAAGTTGGGAGAAGAACAAAAACTTTCAAGTGTTACGTATCCATTTTTGTGTGTTTCTCAACAAAAGCTGTACACTTGGAGTTAGTCAGTGATTTATCAACTTCAACGTTTTTAGCAGCTCTAAAAAGATTTATCGCCCGACGAGGCAAACCATCTAAAATTTCGAGTGACTGTGCTACTAACTTCAAAGGTGCTAGTAAGGAACTGAAGGAGATTTATAAAAATGCAGCTCGCATTGAGAAAAGCAGTGAATTATGTGACTACATTACCTCAGAAGGTATAACTTGGTTATTTAATCCTCCGACATCTCCTCACTACGGTGGCTTGTGGGAATCTAATGTGAAATCCATGAAATTTCATCTTAAACGAGTATTAGGATCCACACTTCTAACTTACGAGGAATTTTTAACAGTGCTTACACAAGTGGAAGCGTGTATGAATTCCCGTCCTCTTTGTGCGATGTCTAGTGATCCAAACGACTTTAGTGCATTGACTCCAGGTCATTTTCTGATTGGAGCCCCTTTGCTTGCCATTCCGGAATCTGACTTGAGTGATGTGAAATCTTCACGACTTAAACGTTGGTCTCTAGTTCAACAGACTGTGCAACATTTTTGGAAACGATGGTGTGCAGAATATTTAACAACACTTCAACAACGTGCTAAGTGGTTTCGTGCGTCTCCAAATCTAAAATGTGGTGATTTAGTTCTGATCAAAAACGAACAACTGCCTCCAAACCAATGGAAAATTGGAAGAATTGCCTTAATTCATCCAGGTAGTGATAAAAAAGTTCGAGTGGCTACAATCCATACAGCCGCTGGTGATTTCAAACGAGCTGTTACTAAATTGTGTCTTATCCCCAATCATGACTAATATGAACTATGAACTATTGACTTTTTTCATATTATTGAACTTTAATTTTAGTTATATTTTCAATTAATTTTTTTTGTTAATGTTATTATGTATGCTTTAACTATTTGTCTTTTTTGAACCCTTAGAAGGCTTCAAGGCCGGGGGCTATGTTTAGTATTTTTTGTTACCAAACGAATTACTAGTGTGTCTTTGCAACATTAGATGGCGTTGCCGCCTGATGATTCAATTCTGGTTGCTATGGTAACGAACTTTCAACTCATAATTTATGTGATTTGTATTCTATTCTTTTTTGTTTTATTAATTGCTACTGTGCTTGGAGTGATGTGAGCTGTGTCGTCACGTGGACGGCATTCCTTCTATTTCAAAGTGTTATGTAAAATAAACAAGTGATATATTACAGTCCGCTTACCTTTTTTTGTGAACTTATTAAAATCTGGTCTAGCCAGGTATTCAGAAATCTAATATATTAATCATTTCTTGGATAAGGTATGAGAAATAAAGGGTAGTCTTCTATTTCTTCTTTGCTAAGTGTTATTATATTTATGTTATCTAATGCGATTGAACCAGTTTAACTAAAAAGAAGGTTCTAAAAAGCAATATAACAACGTTTAAAGCCAAGTAAATTCGAATTTTAGAACAAGCAGAAATTTTAGAGGTAAAGTTGTTCGAAACGAAACTAATGCTTTTAACAGTGAGCTTTGTTTCTATTTATGAGGAATTATTTTTGTTGTGTCCTGAAAAAGATTGTGATACATTCATTACGGAACACAAACAATACAAGAAACTTTAGATGAATTATGGATAACTATAAATAAAAAGTTTTACAGAAACTTTCCAGTGACTCTGTTTATCGAAACAAGTAGTGTAGCAAAAGTAAATTCGTCTGACGTTCGATTACCAAATTAAACTTTCTTTCTACCTTTACAGGGGATAATATAGATGAGTAGATTAGTTTCTATGATCTTTTTAAGGCTAGTGTAGATAACAAAATCCGAATATTTCTAATGTCAGAAGTTTCAATATTAAAGGCATCTTGTAAAAAAAGGCTCTGTCTATTATTGAGTCAATTTCCTATTTCTGATGCTAATTATGATATAGCGTCGCAACTTTAACAGGACGTTATTCTAATAAAAGAGAATTAACTAGTGCATTAATCCGCAAATGTTTATGTTAATTTGCCAAATGTTTCTGATTCAGCTCAAGCTCTTTTACATTGTGGTTGATGTAGTGAATGAATGTGTACGCTTTGAAAACTCTTAAGCTAGAAGTTTCTGATCTTTCTGATGTTCTTTTTGTATCTGATAACTGAGAAAATAATTAGATAAAACATAAAATTTTGGTGGGAAAGAACTTTGAAAAAAGATGAATTAGGTACTTTAAATAATTTACTCGAGTTTCTAAAAGACCACGCTTGAACCTTCAGAATAGTAAGAAACCAATCTAAAGATTTTAGGAAATTTCTAATTCCAAATTAACTTCTTTAGTGTCGAGTAAAAACAGTTGTATAATGTGCAAGGAAGATCATTCTCTTCACAAATGTGGTAAGTTTAACTTAAGTGTCCAAAAAAGAATCGAATTTGTTAAGAAACACAAACTTTGTTTTAATTGTTTATCTTCTCAGCCTCATTTAGTGAAAAACTGTCGTAGTTTACATAAATGTATGACGTGTAAGTTACCTCATCATACCGTTCTTCATTTTGATCGAAATATCAAAACTAGTGAAAATGAGAAACCAAAACAAACGTCCTCACTCTCCCCCAAAGCCGAAGTGTTCGTACCAAAAAATGAAGTCGTTTCAAATACCACAACATGTGCAGGACAATTTATTTATTCTGAAGATGAATCAAAACGTGTATCACTGTGTACTCTCATTAAAGTTAGTGATTCCAATGGTAAAGCCATCCCTTGCAGGGCTTTACTAGACTGTGGCAGTGAAGCCAGCTTTATAAGTGAAGAGTGTGTCAGTAAACTAAAGATAGGTAGATTTAACAAAAAAATTGAAGTATCGTGCCTTGGTTCGTTCAACACTGTAACAAGTGGAGAA